AGGGGATCTCCGATGATATACTCTACAGTAGACTGGCAAACACAAAGTCAACGGGACCATCCTCACCGTAATAGTGCTCCAGTGTTTTGTTGCTACTGTGGATCTGGTACAAGGTCAAGATATGATCGGCGAAAGCTGTCACTGGTGAGGTTGAAGTACTGCCTCCGTCGGAGGGATGCTGATATTCAAGGTGAGATTTGTAAAGCGGTGTGTTGAACTTGTAAAATCTTGTGATGGTCAGTTGGATTACGCTGCATGTCAGACTTCCCTTCGCGCCAAAATAGAGAGTAGAACTGTCAAATGACGCTGGCTACTTTGCTGCTTCCAGCAACTCGCGACGATATCTTGAGATCATACTGCATCCCATGGCGGGCGTTAAATTCGGGATACTGCACTTTTTGGTTTTTCGTGTATTGCACCACTACGTGTATCAAAGCAGGAGTTTAAGGAATGTTCGAACGCGTCGTCGAGATAGTTTGGATGTCCTGAAGCCATCTATATTTAGCATCAACCATTGTTTGACTGTGAAACTGCATATGAATTAACATAGTATTTTCTTATTTATCACTTTTTCATTTTTCAAATATCACAAAAAATTATTTTCATGTTTTTTTCGTGCTAATTTGACAAATGTATAAAATCATGAGGCCTGGTGATAAATTACATACTGTGTGCTTGAGTTAATCATCAAATTAGGGGAAGTCAGAATTAACTTTTCGTGGCGATCATTTTGCGAAATGACCAACCATAGTTGTTATCGTCGGTGGCATCCCATATTCCGAAATGACTTATTTGTTTAGGTAAACCATGGAATGTCACCACGGATGGAGAAGAGATGCGTCAGTACTTTAAAGAGCTCAAGAGAGAGATGGCTAGTGCTACAGCACGTGGAGAAGTACGCGTAAAGACTGGTTAGGACCCTCTATCGTTCGATTTATACCGGTACCCGTGCGAGCGGCTACTTCAGTACCCAGCCAAAGACATGATTTTTACGCGGATATACATGATTGTTGCATGGAATCTTATGTGCAGATCGGCGAACGCATTTGGTATTCGTCACGCCCATATCGAGTGGAGTGGAGACGCCTTGTGCGTGTAATTCGCACACCAAAAAAATGACCAGGACGGAAGCAGGCCTCGTGACCCTCGGCACATTTGCGCAAACCCACTAAGACCAGAGTTATGCCCAGTTCTTGCTCTAGCCGTTTTTTGGGCAACAACATCTTTCGACGGCGACGACCGCCTTTTCCCTGGTAGTAGCCAGTACGAACGCTTTCGTAAGTGTTTGCAGCAGCTCTTAATAAGTGGTGATGTAGTCGATGAGCTACGCCAATGTGGTGTTGATAAAGGCGAGCTGGGTACGCATTCGATGCGTAAGGGAGCAGCAACGTATTGTGCATCTGGATCGACTGCGTGTCTAAATTCGACGTCTGTTCACCTTCGAGCAGGGTGGTCATTGGGTGGAGTGCAAAACACTTATCTTCGATATGAGGCAGCCGGGGACATGCACGTCGGACGAACAGTGTCTGGGCTCCCGCTAGAAAGCCATGAATTTGCAGTACTGCCACCACATTTTGGTGATCGCGAAGCTGAGGTTGAAGCTGCGATTGAGTGCGTATATCCTGGGCTTCCTACCCATCTTACCTACGTTGGCGTGTTTTGCTGGTTTATCACGCACCATTTGTACGAGCTCATTTGGATCCGAATCCGCCGTTATTCGAGACTGCATTATTCCAGCACCCCAGTCTCATTTCAGATTTATCGTCTAAAGTATCATGTACTGGTAATCGCCTCCTAGCGACGGGAGTGCCTCCACATGTAGCCATTTTAGGCAAGATGAAGGCACTGTTTGATGCCATTCTGAAGCCAATGGAGCACGACGATGCCACACGGATAGCCACTGTAAAGGACATAATGGGCGAGCTGGAGAAGCGTGCCATCGGCGCGGGCACCGTGACGTTTGATGGACTAGATGCTGCACTCAAACGTTGTCTCGACTCAGCGGGCGTGACAGAACTAATCAACAAACTAGGTGACAACGGGCAGGATACGTCTGCTGCGACGCATAATCGCACTGACCATCTTGCTACCTCATGTTTCTTTTGAAAGGGTCGCTTTCGTCGAGTTCCAGCTGACTTTGAGCTGCCAGAGTCCGTCTCCAAGTTGTGTGTGTTGTGGCAATGTGGTAATACCAGTAAGAAGCTACCCCTGCTAAAGATGCTGGACGGTCGTGACATGCCCACTCGAAACCTACAAAAGCGTCTGAGTGGCGTACGTTACCTGATGCGCGCTATTGAGGATAGAGCAACACGTACCGGAGTGCGTCTAGCTCATCAGAGCGTCGATGATGCAGTGAAGACGTTTGATGCATGTACAGACTGCGTCGATGTCCCTCTGCTCACCAGGGCACGTAGGAAGCGGCGACGAGGTCAATTTAGCTGGTCAACTGTAGTGGCGCTGCATCGCACAAGCCGCAGGAACAGTAGTAGTAGCTACACGAATATTGCCGCTTTTCACGAATATTGTAGTTTTACTTGATCTCTGATTGGCTGTCATCAGTCCATTCCCAAAGCCCTGCGATGTCCTGTGAATTCCGTCTAACAATCATTGTCAAAGTCTGCATTGTGGACGTCGGGGAGGTCGCGAATATAGGGTTTAGTCTTGTGTACCTGATCAGCAAATACATAGTTTAGTCATGGATTCACATTCGAAAATATATACGAATATTCGTATTGGCGAGTTTCCTTGGATTACAAAAGGAGAGCGGTAGGTAACCCACCGCACCCAGGCGAAGCGACGGTGCCCGTCACCATCCTTGCATGCGGCTAACGAGCGTTCGGGAGTCTTTGCACCGCCCAGCTTTGCTCTAAGCATACCTAGAAGACGTCTCTTGCTCTCTGATGCACGGCGGCTTGCATTGATGCTGCAAGGTATCATACTCACTGGCAAACTGGCAGAGAGGTACAAAATGCAGGTCCTAGAAGGGCGATGGCACGCTAATGCGGTCACTTGCCCAAACAAACACCTGCAGACGCTGAGAGGGTTCCAAGGCCGCTTCCAGATGCTGTGTAGACCGCGATGCACCAGGGCTCGGAAAATACCATATCTTATTGTACGGCCTGCTAGCATTATCAGTAATAAGTTATTCAATACGCTCACGAACAATAGATAATTATTGTCAAATACAAAATATATTGGTAGCCTTACTTCTTCAAGACGCATAAACATCTCACATCTGCTCATATACGTCCTGCACCATACCCATATCCCAATAGCTTCTGTTAGCACGTAGAAACATTAGCATTTCAAAGTTCACAGGCAACAAAGATGCTCGTTGCGGCGTCAGTACTAGCTTGGCCTGGGAAAAGAGCCTCTCACAGCGGTTGCTGGTTGGAGGCAGCTTCTCTGGGAGCTTGGAGTAGTAAGCCGATGTCTGTCTCCCGCTCGCCTTCTTTGCTCTCAGCACCGACGTAGCGAAGTCTTCTTCCTTCTCATCGTCATCACGCCGCTTGCGCTTTCTGCGAGAGCTTGCTGACGCCGTCTCCACCTCAAAGCGCTTGATTGCCTTCCACTCACTGGCCGTCAGACTGCCAACCTCTCCATTAATGACCTAATGAAGCAGATACAAATATTAGTAGCGTTAGCATTTCCACATACCGATAGTAGTATTAGAATTAAAATAGTACCTTCACTGCGGCTGCTTCAAAAGTAGGAAAATGGACGATAGTAGCAGTCGCATTCAACTTAGCCTTGGTCGTTGGGAAGCGCTCGATGATGGAGTCAAACAAAGCTCGTACATCGGCTGAGGTTGAACACGGACTCCACATGCTTGATGTCGTCCCGAAAACGGACGTAGCGAGCTACCATCTCGAACGTGGAGCTCCAACGCGTCACGTTTGGCCTTAACGGCGAAAGGGGGGGGGGTGTTCGAGCAGAGCGGCACGGCTGTTGACCGTGCGCAAGGCCGCCATGAGTGCGCTGACTGCCTCGATCTCAGCCTTGTAGCTTTCCAAATACGCATTTACAGCCAAATTAAATCGGTGCGACGCACAACCAATCAGGGGAACGTCGAGACGTGTCGCAGTAGCTTGGTTAGTCGAACAATTATCACCAATCAGAAATGCCATATTCGACTCTGATA